ACTTCACTTTTCTGCCTTATCTCCATAATCCTTGATTGTCTTCCCAAGATTGTGAACTCATTGCTGGTTACAGAAAGAGTAATCTGTGACAAATAATACTGTAGCAAAGGCACATGATCAACATGAGGGACACTTTGCCTTAGTGAGGCAGAGATCTTAAATAATAAAACAAGAAATTGTTGGAAAAGCTCAGTAGGTCTGGCGCCATCTATGGCGAGAAATCAGAGTTTACGTTTTGGGTCTAGCACTTCTGGCACACAGTCATCCTGAATGCTAGTAGTCTCTATGATTCCCCATAAATGATAGTCCACTCAGCTGCCCTCACCTGCCATCATGTTAAATCCTTAGTTATACCAGGTGACTTTATTCCTAAATCGTACTGCAGCTATTTAGGGTGAGTTCATAAAGGTATTTTCTTTACCAGCCAGTCAGTTCACTGTTTTCCTATGATGTGAGTGAATTTGGACTTGACTGTAGATTTATATTCACCGCTCCGTGCCTGTCCGCTACCACCTTCCCATTCAGGCCTAAACCATCAGTTGCTGAAACTTTCCTGAAAGGTGAAGATAATTCAAGTGGAAAATTTGGTATGATATCTCTCATGGAAGCTCGAAAAGCAGATCCTTAATGAGTGAGCAGTCAGCTCATACTGGGGAAGAAGCTGATGGAGTTCCTGAGTGCTATTGTCTTATCAAGTGCTGACGAGGAAGTGAGGACCTCCCCTCAGACCCACTTATGATGAATTGACAGTTGCACATTAGATAGTGGTACTGCCCAGATATGATAGGGAGATGTTGAGAGTGGGAACGTACGAGCAGGTGTAGGCCATTCAGCCCCTTGAGCCTGTTCCACCATTCACTGAGATCATGGCTGATCTGTGGCCTAAGTTCATATCCTTGCCTTTGGCCCAAATCCCTTAATATCTTTGTTTATCAAAAAGGTATCAATCTCCAATTTAAAATCCTGTGTCCACTGTTGTTTTTGGAAACATTTGCCACATTTGCGTCTAGAGTAGCTCATGAAATTCCATGGCAGGATATGTCAGGTTTTCAAAAGCTTAGGTGTCCATAAACAGGTATTTTGCATAAAATTGCATCAAGATATTGAGGTTTTGTAAAGTATGCCATGCTTGTCAAATTGTAGGTAACCCTCAACATGTAATTAAACCAGCAGCTCTGATTCCAGGACAAAGCAGCCCACTTGATTAGCAATACGTCTACAAGCATTCACTCCCTCCACCACCAATGCTCAGTAACAGCAGTGCGTACTAGATGCACTGCAAAAATTCACCAAAGATCCTCAGGCAATACCTTCCCAAACCCATGACCACTTCCATCTAGAAGGACAAGAGCAGCAGACATATGGGAACGCTATCCCCTTCAAGTTTTCCTCCAAGCCACTCACCATCCTGACTTGGAAATATATTGCCATTCCTTCACTGTCGCTGGGTCAAATCCTGGAATTCCCTCCCTAATAGCATTGTGGGCCTACCCACAGCAGGTGGACTGCAGGGGTTCGAGAAGGCAGCTCACTACCACCTTCACAAGGGGCAACTAGGGACAAGCAAGAAACGCTGGCCAGCCAGTGACGCCCACATTCCACAAATGAATTTGGGGAAAAAAGTGAGTAAAACATCAACAGCTGAATAGCAAGTGGGAGGATGAACTATGAACTGACTAATTTAAGGCAGAGAGACACTTACAAACTATCAAAAGTAAGATGGTGGTAGAGACAAACCAAATAGTTGGAATAACGAGTGGGTATCGGAGTTGCATGATGAGGGTCTAACCAAAGTGACAAATAATCAAAAACTGTATAAACTAATTGAGGATGAGAGATAATAACAAATAAAATGGTGTCAAAACAGAACAGTAAAGAAAATTTTACAAACACAGAAAGTATGGTGGGGTTACATGTAGCGCGACATGTACCCAAGATCACGGCTGAGACTGTCCTAATGAGTGCCAAACTTGGCTGTCAGTCTCTGTTTGGCGATTCTGCATTGTCGTGTATTTTGAAGGCCACTCTGGAGGATGCTTACTGGAAGATCGGAGGCTGAATATCCTGCTCAAGTGTTCCCTGACTGGGAGGGAACCTTCTTTATTAGTGATTTGTTATGCAGTATCCATTCATCCGTTGCTGTAGCGTCTACATGGTCTCACCAATATACCATGCCTTGGGGCGTCCTTGCCTGCAGCGTATGAGGTAGACAACGCTGGCTGAGTCACGTGAGTACATACTAGTTGGTGGGTGGTGTTCCCACACGTGATGGCAGAATCCACGTCGATTGTCTGAGATGTCTTGTAGAGGTTGCTGTGGCAGGGTTGTGCGGTGTCGTGATTGCTGTTCGCTTGAAGGCTGGGTAGTTTGCGATGAACGATGGTCTGTTTGAGGTTAGGTGGCTGTTTGAAGGTGAGTAGTGGAGGTGTAGGGATGGCCTTGGTGAGATGTCCGTCATCATCAATGATATGCTGCCACTCGCACTATTTGTCCTCCTCTGTTGACACTCCTAATTACCTGGAATTATCTTGGCATTATGTCTCTGCCTAAATATTCTGTGCCTGTTTGTTTCCCTTTGCTTCACCTCAAGAAGGAGCAGCACTGCGAAAGTTTGTGATTTCAAACAGACCTGTTGGACTATAACCTAGTGTTGTGTGATTTCTGAATTTTTTAAACACTGTAGTTAAATACAAACAAAAGAAAGAGGAGTTTAGAATAACAACTATTGGAAAACTTAGCCAAATAATAGACACAGTACCGATTACTAATTAACTCTTCCAATATAGTAACATCCCATAAATACACTCCTTGGCAAAATGGCAAATTCAGACACCGATTCTCACGTGCAGTCCTCTAATCCAGGAAGAAAAACATCGAGAAAATTGAGAATGTGCAGCAGTCAGGCGACATTCACTGAAGCTTCCAACTCTTCTGAGACCACAAGAGCTTCTGATTTTACTGGAAAAAAAAACAAAACCCAGAAATCTGGATCTGAGAGAGCTGGTCACACCCATTTCAGGATGTTTTTTGGAAAAACAAGGCCTCACAAGTTGTTTACAAGTCCACTTCTGTAGCCAGTTTGCCACGTCTGCCTTACAACCACTCTTCAAAAAAAGGACAAAATAACCTTTTAAAGTCACAGCATCATCACGAGGGTGATTAGAACTCATTAGAGATTTTTTAAAAAAAAAAGGTTAATAGGACTGTGTGGAATTGTGCAGAAACATGTAAGAACTGGCTCATATAAAATGAAAGAGTAGGCATGTAAACATACAACAACTGGAAATTTCGAAGCAGGAGATGAAGTTTTGGCTCTGTTGCCCTTGTAAGGTGAGCCACTAAAAGCAAAATTTAGTGGTCTCTGCAAAATAATTAAAAGGGTTAGTCAGGTAACAAATCTAATTGATGCCCTGGATTGTAGGAAAAAGAATTGATTACATCCTGTGAACGTGTTGAGATAGGACTATCATAGAGAAGATTGTGGGAATGTACAGGTGTGCCAAGTCAAGTGTAGTAGAGGAGGAATTGCCTATTCCTCGTGAACTTCCTACTATCAAATTCACATATCTGGAGATCTTAGAATTTAATCATTGTACGTTTGTATATGGAGAAAGAACAACGGGCATAAAGTGAGATTGCACAAAAAATATAAAGACATTTGCAAAGATAGTCTTGGATGTATCGCATTCACATGCTGTTGGTAATTCAGATCTGATTAAAGAAAACCCACGTCAGTTAAACCCAGAGGAACAAGTTAAAGGAAATATAATACATGAACAAAAACAGAAGTTGCTAGAAAAGCACAGCAGGTATGATAGCATCTGTGG